TCATGGATGTGGGTGTCCAGGACTCCCGTTGAGTCCAGGTCTTATCACTCAAATCCTGGATGTCATGTATTTATTCACTATAGATGTGGGAGTCCTGGACTCCCACTGTGTACAGGCCTTGCCACTTATTGTGGTGTTCAACCACCACCTTAACACCCACTGCAGATGTCCATCTCATAAGATATAAGGTAGCAGTCATGCAGATTCTACCTACCTCATGTGATTGTGACTGACTGTGATGCCTCACAGGATAAGTGTGTAAGCAGATGCAAGAGTTACTGATATTTCAAATAACAAATGTTCTACTCCATTTCTGTTAATTCTGATTAACAGAAAATGTCCGCAGTATTACTGTCAATGTAACTGTGTAGCCGTTTAATGCATAAGGGTCTGTTCGGACATCAGCCATTTTCAAAATTCCAGTTTAACACATACAAGACCAAATAGTCGGAGACCGAAAATGATGTCACGCTGATGCTAATGATAATGAATTTGATAGCGGTCACCGAGCCTATTGTGCCACGCAATGCATCCCAACGACCTCAATGCCGACTTCGATATGCTAGACCTGCTAGATCCACTAGACCAAGATGATATTGTCATTGAAGAACATGATGACAGTTTGGATGAAGAGTCCAATCATGCTAATGCAGCGGACTCCGACCAGCTGGATGTAAACGAGCTGCACTGGATAGACACGATGTTCCGCGGTGCTGCTCGTGTAGCAATGGCTATTGCTGATGCTGCTGGCCAAGTACTCCAAGATCACACACACACTCACTACAACAAGCAGCCCTATCATACTTCCGCCTTGTCTGGAATGGCATGGGTCAATGAGCTCCTCACAGGACATCCAGACCGCATACGATGTGAACTTGGTGTGCGGCGCCATGTGTTCTATGTACTGTTGAATCTACTTCATGATTCAGGGTGCAGGAATTCAAAATATGTCCCGCTTGAGGAGCAGCTCGCCATCTTCTTGTATGCAAGTGTCACAGGTCTCTCTGTTCGCCATCTTGGTGAACACTTTCAACGCTCCAATGACACGATATCAAAGTATGTGATTCCCCAGTGTGATAAATTCGCTCATTTTTTTGAAGGTATTTCAAATGTATTCTCAACGCATTTTCCTCCCCCCCAATTTATTCATTGTATGTCCGGCTACCCAGCGCAGACAGTCCAACACCTCTCGAAGTCCTTCGAAACCCGAAATTCTTCCCATACTTCTCCAATGCCATCGGTGCTATAGACGGTACTCATATCGCATGCCACCCTAGTGGCAAGGATCGCGATGTGACTCGCGATCGTAAAGGCAACTTAACTCAGAACTGTCTCATAGCCTGCTCCTTCAACATGTCGTTCCTTTACATACTGAGTGGCTGGGAGGGATCAGCGGCCGATGCACGTGTTTATCATGATGCTCGCATTACAGACTTCAACATCCCTCCAGGCAAATACTATCTTGCTGATGCGGGATTTGCTGCATGCGATGAACTACTTGTGCCGTATCGTGGAGTACGCTACCATCTTGCTGAATGGGGTCGTGGACATCAGGCGTAAGTAATGTTCAACTTAAGCTAACTTGTACTTACATTGTTTTGTAGGCCCTGTAATCACAGAGAATTATTCAATCTACGTCATGCCATGCTCCGAAACGTCATTGAGCGTATTTTTGGTCAAGAACCGCTTCAACATCCTGCTTCTCCCACCTCATTATAACATGGACGTGCAGGCTCGTATACCTGCGGCACTGTGCCTGGTGCACAACGTCATCCGTATTCACGACCCGAACGACATGATGGACTACCGCCAGGTTGATGTGAATGAGCCGGAGTATAATGTTGGCACACTTGCAGAAGGTCCTCCCACTGCAGAGGCACGCACACGTGCACACCGACATCGTGACGAGATCGCCCTTCGCATGTGGGAGGACTACAATCTGACGAGAGAGCAGAGAGGTCAGTCAGTCATAGCGGACAATCTTTTGTAGTCGTTTGCGTCAATTTTATGTAGTCATTTGCACCGATTTTTCATAGACGGTTGAGCAGCAAAGTGTCATAGTATTTGGTGCTGCTACTACTACTAACAATATCAAATGCGAAGGTGATACAGCAAAAATTTACTTCAAGTATGTCAATAAGAAAAGCTTCCGGACGCTCTCCTTCTCAATGACAAGGTACGAATCAGCTATGGCAACATCTGCTTGGAAATGCTTGATAATTTCGACAATCTCATGGTCCTCCAGACCCTCCTTCTGTAGCTGGATGATAGCCTTCTGCTTGCGCACCGGAATGGGATCCACTGTGGGGCGCGAGGCAACCTGAGTTGCACGCTCATGCATGACATCTGTTGCGCGATCGAAGGAGGTGGAGAGACCACGAATCTCCTTGGACATGCTTTGGAAAGCTTCTGGGACAGCCACACGTGGTGACTTGATGGACTTCCCTGACTCGGATGCAGATTTCGTAGAGCCCGGAGGGCGAGCAAGCGATCTCATGTTATCACCTGATTCTCCAGCTGCTTTTCGTTTGCCGCTGGCAATGGTAGAAGTACCTGGTGTAGAGGGAGTGAAGGTGGGCCGTTGCATCGGATCAAAGAGAGAGGGTGGCTCAGTCATGATGGTGGAGGGTGGCGGCATCATGGCGATATCTACATCCTGCGACTCGATGTCATTCAACACTTCCTCCTGGTCGAGTATATTGGCTTCATCATAACTGATGCCATCTGGGAGGTGAGAAGAGGTAGTGTGACTCGGAGCCCCTACCAGCGCAGCGTTGTCAGCAGGCATGCGGGTGTAGAAAGCACGGCTTCCACGTGTATTTGGCGATGGTAGGAGTTCCTTCATTGCTTCATAGTGGGGCCAGCCTTTATTCTTAAACTTCCTTGCAGTGATAGGAGCCTGGATCATATTAGTAGTTGCCAGTGGTAGCGGAGTATTGACAGCACTCACTTTCGATGAGCCCATGTAGTCAGTCCATACCGTCTCAGATTCAGCTGTGATGTTGGCGCCATGCTCCAGACTGTACTCCCATCCAGAATAGGTCGCAATTGAGTCTACAACACCAAACGTGCTACGGAGCTGGAGGTCTTATTAGTATAGACTCTAGTACTGGTGCAACATGATGAGAACTTACCCGCACCCATTTCGATTGGCATGCATCAATTGTCTTCGGCGCACCTTGTGTGGTATGTTTAGATGTCTCATTAGAAGCAGAGGTCCAGAAGGTCTTGTCAAAGTTCATTCCGTTACCACCCTTAGCTCGGTGGGTAGCGATGTATTGGATGAGGTGTGTTTCATCGTCCAGTGTCCAGAAACATCGGTCCTTGGTTTCAGGGTCCTGACACTCCGGTGCGCTCTTCTTTCCACGTACCATGGTGCTCTTTGAACGTCCACGGTGGCTGAGACTTGAACGAGTCAATCTAGTGTTAGATCGCGTAGCTGGCATGTTATCGATGGGCTGATATGCTTTGTCACATATGTCACACTGACCCCCAAACATTACAAAGCACCATATGTTTGAAATTTGAAAATTTGTGGCAAAATTTGTGTATCCGAACAGACCCTAAGGCTCCTGATTAATTGATATTACAATTTTGTCTTCAGTCACTTTTTCATCACACTTGTCACGTGAGGTAGGTAGAATCTGCACGACTGCTACCTTAGGGACCTGCTACAAGGGCAAGAGAACAGCTATGGTGCCGATCGCTTAGGGGCCACTACTTATGTGCAGTGGCCAAATCAGCCATTAATGTGGTAAGGCTCTAACCATAGTGCCTGCGACACTCAGTACTAGTAGCATGTGTGGTAGTCAATCAAATTATTCATTGTTCGCCATCCGACACCGCTTTTTGCCAGTCACACTAATTCCCACCTCTCACGAGAAGCTTGCTGCCACCTGCGTGAGAGCTACAAGATTGCAAAAAAATGCTCAGCCCCCGATATCTGAACATGATAATTCCACACCCACCACCAATGAACCACTGCCACCACAAATAAATACTATAGAAGTATCTAAAAGCTTTGGTGTTGAATTCTGTCCAATAGAACTGGACCTTAAATGTCTTTCTGACTGTGGTTATACTGGTGGTGATGGTCAACTGTAGGCCAGATGATGATGATGTATATATCCGAAGCACACAAACTGATACACTCAGATTAATGCAGATTTATCCCTAAAAGATCAATCTTCAATCCAATACAACTCACACAGATGATAACCGCCTATGCAGACGTCATGGAAGAAGACAGAGTTATCGTAGTGCTTGACCAAGAAAAAGCTTACACCACAACTACCTGATTGAGACCCTACATACCTTCAATCTACCAGTAAGATTCATCAAAACTGTCTGAACACTATATGAACATGCACACACCAGAGTGATGATAAACGGGTTCATGAGCAGCCCCTTCAGAGCAACAAGGGGAGTCTGACAAGGGGACCCACTGTCTTGTTTACCTTTCGGCCTAGCAATAGAACCGTTAGCCTGCACTCTACAAAATTCAATGAAACTAAAAGGATACAACATACCTGGGTCTCCTTGTCTTCCATGTCTACTGTGACGCTCGTGCAATCCCAGAATCGGACCATGCTCCAGCATCCTCCACCCTCATTTCTGCATTCATTGCCTTCGCGGCCGGTTCATACTCCGGAAAGACCATCACGAATTACATTTTCGGCGTGCGAGCATGGCACATCCTCCATGGTGTGAAATGGTCCCTAGACAATGTTCAAATTGACACACTACTGAAAGCCTCAAGAGAACCTCACACCACACTCTTCGAAGCGCAAGAAGCGCCGTCCATACACTGTCGACTTCTTATGTTTACTACACGACCATCTTAATTTAGAGTCACCTCTCGATGCTGCCGTGTTTAGCTGCCTCACAGGAGTGTTTTATTGTACCACGCTGTAACACTCGGACTGGCGTTGGTCGTGTATCCTCCCTAAATTGTATGCGTGTCACACTTATATTCCCCGACACTCCTTTTACCTTCCGAGATGTCACATCGCCCTGGAACAGCAGGGCGCACCGTACTATGTAAGTGTTTTGTTTTTATTATTTGTTCATTCACAACTAATACTATGACAGGGCTTCTATCACACTAATGGTGTCCCGGTCCTTGAGTCTTTTCTACAGGTCCACGCTTCCCTCGAGCTCTCATCGCGTGCTGAACTTTCAGCAGCACCAGTGATATTCATTCACCTCATCCTTGTCGACTTCGACATTTCGGCCAGCCCTTTCTCCTTGGCTCATTTGTTTCTTCAGCCCTACTTCACCAGCGGCGGCATCGAATATCGTGAGATCGCCTACAACATTGTCTCTGACGCGTCCGGTTACCGCAAAACCATCTGTCAAATCATCAAGGACCTCAAAAACTCATTCGCATGGGAACGTGTGGTGGTTGGTATATCCACTCACACTGACAATGATTCAGGTGATCCTTTTGCCAGGTACAGTTTGGATGGCGAGAAGCACTATGCTGGCGCCCCAACTGAAGATGTAAGTTTTTGTTAAATTTTTCTGCCGCTGATTACTAACTAGAGACTTGAAGTTCTTGGAGGGTATCCTTAGTCCATGGCAATTTCTCCTGGACCATGCTGACGAAACCTACCTGTGGCTCTTGTGCTGCAGCGCAATTGTCAACAACAGTGACTCGTTTGCAGGATTGCAACGCGCAGTAGTTCAGTAAGTTCATTTAAATTGCATTTTTTATCTTATCTGACATTCTAACAGTCACAAGCTCTCTGCCACAGTCGCATTCAATGCTGCACGTTTTCAACCATCTTTTGCATCCCATTTGCTCCTGGCATTCACTGAACAAGTCCTTGTGGAATGTTGCCCCATTGGCCTCGCATTTGGTGACATGCTGGCGCAAGCTTACAAACTCGGTCGCCACACTGATGTCTTCTTACTGACACCACTTGTGGGTAGTCTGAAGGTCTCCAAGTTTGTATGGGCTGATGTCAAGTTCCGGCCTTGGGGCGGCTTCCTGCCAATCCAATGCCCAAGCTGTGGGTGGACTGATTGTTGGAGGTCAGTCTTTGTGAGGGCTTGCAAGGATAAGGTCTATGTCTTTGAGTGCAAGAATGACACCTGCACCCAGTCTTTCACCTTCAGCCCTCCTGAAGGGGCCACCATGTTGACACCAGGTAGGAAGCAAGGGTGTTCATGGATGCATGTACCTTTGAAGCCATTGTTGACTTGATTATGTACATTTCTTACTTTGGTTACTCAAATTTGGTCACTTCATATATGTCTTAGCTTTAGACAATAATGTTTGGTTGTTTGTGAATGAAACTTTGGTAGATGCACTTTGTGGATTTTGAATATAGTGAAAATTGTCAACATAAATGTCACATGACCTTGTTTGTAATGTTGAGTTTTTCAACAATGAAGTCTCGTCCAACAGTACATCTGCAAACTTGTACCGGCCTGCATCCCTGTGATTCTTATTTGTCAGATATAATGGCCAGCTGGACTCTTGTTTTTAGCAATGTGTTGAATGAGCACAAAGATTCCTTTGTAGCAGCTAAAGGAAATTCTGTCATCAGGGCTCGCATCCTCAAGACAATCAAAGATGCTATAGGCAGCAGTGAAGCAGCCAAAGACCCTTGTGTCATGCTTCCTGAGAAAAATCTGCGCAAGGTGAGCTTTTATAATTGTGTTCTATACTAATCTAATCAATACAGGCTGTTCGTGCCTATTATTTGGACTTCCTGGAAGATGATGAGGATCGCAAGGCAGAGGAAGAGATTATTGAGGGAGGAACTAAGGACACATCTGCTCCAGATGCTGTTACTGTAGAGATGGTGAGACAGAGGGAAGATGATAAGCCTGAGGATGCTGGGAAGTACAAGACAGAATTCTCTGGTTTTGATGTCGTCCAAAAATTATTTAAGGATGAATTTGCAGAATATGACAAGCAGCACAGAGATACCTCCAACCCAAAGTCTATGGGTCAGAGAACAAGATTGGCCCGCATGTGGCACCAGGCCATGTCCCCTGAGGTGAAGAAGGAGCTCGAGCGAGTTACAGGAAAATGGAACCAGGAAGGACCTCCTGCAGATACCAAGGACAGGTATTTTTTTCCCAAGATTCTATTGGCATACATGCTATATAACTCAACAATACATCAACAGATACCGTACCCATAACCAGAAAAAAATGATGGAGGACTTTATGGACATGGTCCGGAGACCATGAGATTGCATGTCGTCATCCTTACAGCCTATGACCGAGGTGAGGGAAAGGCTCCTGGAACTACTGTGTAAGTGTTTTTGATGCTTCATATTGTTAATAATGACTAACTTGTTTCTAAAGCTGGGAGACTTCGCCACAAAAGGCCAAAAAACCTTTTACTCAGGCAACCAAAGACAATCGGAAATGGGCAGAACATGCTCAAGATCGTCTTGCCAACTGGCTTCTCGAAGGAGAATATGGTAAATGTCTCTTTTAATTTTTAAATTTAATATGGTAGCTAAAAGTCTGTCAGCCGATGGAGAGGTTAGTGATGGAGAGGACGACAATGAAAATAATCTCCCAGATCTGACTGTTGAGGTTGATGATGATGGTTATCCTTGCCTACCCACAGGCTTTGTATCTCTCAAGCTCAAGCACAGGCAACAGCTTGTTCAGACTGTCTTTCAAAAGGCCTACGGTGAGTTAATTTGTCTTATGTGATTGTATCATTTACTCACTTGCCCCAGCTGTTATTACCAACAATCCCAGGGCTCTGGTGCCCTGGGGTGAGATGTCGACCGATTCCAATCACTACTTTAATTCAGGATGCATTCCTGAGAATGTCGTCATCAGGGATCCTTCCCACCTGCAAAAGGACACGATCACTGCAATATACTCCCACTGGAAAGACCATGCTAGTCATGACATGCCGATTGTATGTTTTGTTGGATATAGGCAAGCTGATTTCTATGATGCTCGCACTAAGAAGGGAGCTGCAAAGGGCAAGTCAAGGACGAAGCCTGCCTATGTTGAAGTCTCTTCAGATGAGGAAGGACTCTTGAACAAGGTCACTGATGGTAAAAGCTCTTCAGATGAAGATGACGTCGAGGTGGAGACTCCGACCATTCCTGAGTCCAGCCCCAAATACTATCTTGCTAGGGACATGGTCCCTTACCTCAAGTCTCTCTCTACTGTCCCTTCATATCATTGTCTTCTTACTGCGGTTCAAAAGCTTCCAGTATGTCAGATCTCTTAACCTCATGATTTTACATTGATTTTGTCTTTTTTAAAGCAAAGAACAGATTCAAAGTCAAGGAAACAGCATCTTCCTGTCTGGGCTTCTTGGACATGGTCTCAGGCATATCTGCCTCAAGACATCCATGAGGATATGAAAACCACCTCAGTTGCCCTGGAGCATTTGAGTAACTACCAGTTCGATTCTCGTGGATGGGGCATGGTTGTGGCCCTGGGACTTAGACTCCTACTTCGTCAGTGTCGTCGTGCTCAGGAGTATGAAGCCAACAAAGCTGGAGATGATGTACCTAACTACTTGGGTAACTCTATCTTGGGCATCCAGATGGGCAACCAGACTGAGGAAAAGGTTGTAGAGATAGGGGCAGAAGTTGAAGCCATGCTGAAAAGATGAGAGCCTGGGTTGTCTATTGTGAGGAAAGACATTGAGAAGAGGCTTTCAGAGAAGAAAAGGAAGTTGAAGGAGAAAAGGAGAGTCGAGGAGGAGAAGAGGGTTGAGGAAGAAGAAAGATTGGCTAAGGAAGCAAGCAAGGTGGACAAGAGGGTAAGGAAATCCAATGCTAAAGGGAAGGGTAAGAGGCCTGCTGCAGATGTGGAGGAACCATCCAAGAAAAAAATGAAAGCTTCCCCTTCTGATCCATCTTGTTGTTCTGCCAGAGACAAAGCACCTCCAAAGAAGTACAATGTTTGAAATATTTGATATATCATTCCATACATCTTGTATCACATGGCTTAGAGTTGATTAAAATGTTTTGTATATCTGTGCTTGAGACTTAAAGAAATATTCAATATGGCACTGGCCATACATGTTTGAATATAGGTCATTAATCATGCAGCTGGCCCATTTGCATGTACTGCACAACCAGGCCGGCCTTCATTGGTATGGGTCACTATAGGTGCGGCCAGCCCCCTTTTCATACAGTAGAAGCAGGCCGGCCCACAGGAGTATAGGCCATTACCCATGCAGCCGGCCCATTTGTACAGACTGCACAACCAGGCCGGCCCTCATTGGTATGGGTCACTATAGGTGCGGCCAGCTGTCATATCCCGCGTTCCGGACCCGGACCTATCACACTCATCATTTCTGGATTTCCGGATCCGGCCGACTTCTATGTATCGTCCGGATCCGACCCCGTCTAACTTCCGCGCCTTATCCCTTTGGTATTTCCCTTATCAGTTAGTACGCTTTATTTTCCGTTCCTTATTCATTTCCGTCTTCATTTTACTAAGTTCCGATAGACTAGTGATAGTCGTCCCATATGTTTTCTTCATAGCTTTACATAGCTTCGCACTGCACTTACTGTTCTCCGTTATGTCCTCAGTAGTATATAAACCCCTGTACAATCTCTGTAGTTTCCTCAGTTCGAATATCATATTAGACTCTG